ATACCTGTAATCCCAGCACTCCAGAGGCTGAGACAGGAGGATCACTGAGAATTTGAGGCCAGCCTGGGCTATGTAGTGAGTTCAAGGACAGCCAGAACTACAAAGAGAGACCTTGACTCAAAAAAAAGAAAAGAAAACATGACCTTATTCACACAGCTATAATTAAACAATAGCTTGCTAGGTCATTGTGGCCTGTTTATCACTTGGCTTGTTTATTTTTTATGAGATATTTTGCTACTTAAAGAAGTGACTTTCAACAGCCTCCTAACCTCTATAAACCTCCATTTCCTCGTCAATACACAAAGATGGTTGCGCCTACTTCACCGAGTTCCTGAGGTGTAACAGTGACTTTACATAGATCACCTGGCACTTCATAGTGAATTGTTTGCTGGATTAAAAGAATCACAGTCTTGGAAGCAGCCTATATGTCCACTGACAGATGAATGGATAAAGAAAACGTATTTACACACAGTGGAGTACTACTGTGCCATAAGGAAGTCACCTGTAGGAAAATGAATGCACCTTGAGACCATAATGTTAAGTGAAATAACTCAGGCACACGAGCTTTATTATCACATGGCTCTCTTACATGAGAAACCCAAAACATGAACAAAATAAAAGACAATAGGAAGTAGGGAGATAGGTTTTGCAGATGGGAAGGGAACCAAGAGGTGGAGAGGGAAGGAGAGAGAGGAAGGTGATGGAAAAAGAATGAAGACGGCCCGGGTTTAGCTCAGTGGAACCACGCCTGCCATGCAAGCGCAAGGTCCGGAGTTCAATCCCTAGTACCAAAATAAGCATGAAGATGTTAGGGACCTGTACTGCAACATGCACTAATAGAGGGACAGTGATGAATGTAATCATTATGTACTGCAAATACGTACTAATAAAAGTGTAACAAAATCCACCCCCCAAAAAAAGAGTGCTTTCATTGTGTCAAGGAAGGAATTAGTTCCCAGAATCAAATGATAATACCAGTACAACATACCAGAACTTATAGGACACAATGAAAGCAATCCTAAGAAAAAAGTAAAATCATAATGGACACCACCAAAATGAAGATTAGTAACTCCTCTGAGAACCGGTACTCTAATAAATTGGAGAATTCACAAGAAATGGATAGATTCCTAGATACACATGAATTACCAAAAACTGAACCAAGAAGATATAAAAATTCTGAGTAATCCAATATCAGGCAATGTAATTAAAGCAATAATAATAAAAACTACCAACTAAGAAAAACCCAGGTCATGATGGATTCACTCCTGAATTCTACAAAGCTTTTAGGGAACATCTTATACAAGCACTCCTTGTATTAGTTACTTTTTTTCATTGCTGAGACAAAACAGGCAACACCCAAAGGCAAAAGGAGGAAAGATTTATTTCAGCTTAAAGTTTGCAGAGGTTTCAGTCCATAGTTGGCTAGCTCCAAGGTAGGGTGGCATGGCAGAGGGGCACTGCAGAGGGGAAACAGTCCATGCCAAAGCTGGGCAGGCACAAGCCAGCAAGCAGCAAGTTCAATCGACCTTAGCAGCTTTTTTCTGCCCCTTTTATATTCTGTCTAGGATACCAGGCTTAAGGCAGGTGCCAGACCAATCAGTAGACTGATTTAGTAATCACATACCCATAATCCCAGCATCACACACTCTAGATCCAGCCACCTCTGAAAAAACCCCTACCTATGATGGCATGAAGCTTTGGGGGACATCTAGACACAAAGCATAACACTCCTCAAACTCCCTAATGAAACTGAAATGGGAGGAGTACTTCCAAAGTCATTCCTGGAAGCTAGCATCACCCTGATTTCAAAACTAGACAAGGATCTAACCAAAAAGAGAACTATAGGCCAATCTCTTTAATAAACATAGATGCAAAAATCCTCAACAAGATACCAGCAAACAGAATGCAACGTATCATCAAAAAGATTATATAGGGGGGTCCAGGGATTTAGCTCAGTGGTTTTGCCGCCTGCTGCACAAGCGCCAAGGACCTGAGTTCGATCCCCGGTATCAAAAAAAAAAGATTATATATCATGACCAAGTAGAATTCATCCCAGGGAGGTAGGGATGGTTCAACATGTGCAAATCAGTAAATATAATACACCACATAAACAGAAGCAAAAACAAAAATCCTATGATCATCTCAACTGACACAGGAAAAGCCTTTGACAAAATCAAACATTTATTCATGATTTTAAAAAAAACCTGAAGAAAACAAGTATAGAAAGACTTTTCAACTTGATTTTTAAAAACCCCATTTATGACAAATGACCAACATCATATTAAATGAGGAAAAAGATGAAGGCTTTTGCTCTAAAATCAGAAACAAGACACGGATGTTCACTATCACAGCTCCTGTTCAATATAGTTCTCAAAACATTAGCCAGAGCAATCAGGCAAGAGAAAGAAATAAAAGGGATAAGTATAAGAAAGGAAGAAGTCAAATTATTATTATTTCCAGATGATATGATCATCTACATAAAAGACCCCAAAATTTCACCAAAAGACTCCTAGAATTAATAATGAAATTTAGTAACATAGCAGGATACAAAAATCAACAGTGTTCTTGTAGAACAATAATGAACTCACTGAGAAATTAGGAAAACAATACTATTGACAGTAACATCAAGAAAAATGAAATACATGGGAATTGACCTAACCAATGAAGTGAAAGACCTCTACAACAAAGACTACAGTCTTCTGGAAAAGGAGATGGAAAAAGACCTTAGAAAATCAAAAGAGATTCCACCTCACCCCAGAAAGAATGGCTGCTACCAAGAAATCAACCAGGCTGGGGATTTAGCTCAGTGGTCACCTAAGTTTAGAATGTGTGGTCTTTTGTCTAAGAACCGCAGGAAGGTGTCAGTAGGAGTCCTGTTAGGTTACTGCGGTATGAAGAGCTTCCTGGGGGAGGTCTAGGGCACTTGAGTGAGATACTGTATGAAGGGAGGAAGAGCAATAAACAATAGTAAAGAATGGTGTTTGGAGCCATGGTATCCTGTTGCACGTCTGTAATCCCGCCCACAAGGGAGGCTGTGGCAGGAGGATCTTGAGTTTGAGACAGGCTAGGGCAACTTATGAGACTCTGTCTCCAAACCAAACCAAACTAAATCAAACCACGGTATTTTAACAACAGACAGGGAAGAAGCCGGGTCTGTTGAGCCAGGTCTGTGTGAGGACAATGGTGTGGTTTCCTGAGGGCTTGTGAACTCTTGAGAAATCTGAGAGGTTCGTTTAAAGGAATCTCCTGAAAGCTGGCCCTCTGAGGGGAGTTGGGTCAAGGTGGACTGTGAGAACCACACATAGGGAGGATGGAACTGAAGTAGTGGGTTGACAGCAGCAAGTGAGATTAGGAGGCCAAGAACTACACTAAAGGTGGGGGCTGGGGCAGAAAAAGTTGTAGGGGCTCAGAAAAATGATGTTCCAAGGTGCAGGCCTCGGAAATGACTTCAGAGGCCAAAGTTTCTCTCTGGCCTCTGTCCTGTCTCTCACTGCTCATCCTCCCTCCCCTAAGGCAAGCCATAGGAACTACACTTCCTCTTCCTCCAGGCAAGATAGCAATCAGAACCCCTCTTCCCCAAAGCCAACCATAAAACCTAAAATATTACTCCAAACTTCCCCTACCTTTCTAAAGAACTGGCCACAAGAAAATTTTCTGACCTATGCTGTTTGGCTATAGGTTGTAAGAAAAGGCTCCAGGGGTGAAGGATTTAGCTCAGTGGTTCTGCCATCTGCCTCACAAGAGCTAGGTCCCAAGTTTGATTCCCAGTGCAAGGGGAAAAAAAAAAAAAGACTCCATACCCCAGAGGGAGAAATGCTGTAAGAGAGGGGCCAAGAAGAATCTGTACAGCAGGCCTTGCTGGGTTCCACCCATAGTCTGTTTCCATTAGCTCATAACCTTTTGTCCAGTCACAGTTCTACATGCTGTGTATGCTTCACTGCACCTAACCCTAAATGGACAGTTCCCTCTGAGTCTTTAGGGCTTCAATCTGAAGTTTTCCCTGTCATGTAAAACTATGATCAAATAAATCTTTTGCAGCTTTTCTCCCATTAATCTATCTATTGACAGTTTATTTTATTAGACTCAAATGTAAAACATTCAGAGGAAAAGGTTGAATTTCCTCTACAAACTGAGCTGGCAAAGGGGACCAAAAAGGAAAAGGAAAATCCAGGAGAATATGGTGTCCTTTCAAGAAGGACAAAAAGGGCCGGGGATTTAGCTCAGTGGCACCACACCTGCCTGGCAAGGGCAGGGTCCTGAGTTTGATCCCCAATACAAAAAAAGAAGAAAAAGGAGAAGGAGGAGAAGGAAAAATAGAAGTGAATCCAGCAAAGAGAAGGGAAGAAAAGTAGAAGCCAGAAACCAGAGCTGTGAGTTCCAGGAAGCACAGATGCACCTGGAGCTGGAAGATGGGTGGGTGGGACAGGTGCAGAGAGGGCCTGGACACCAGTGCAGGGCTCTTCAGGGTTGGGTTTGCTTTATCTCTTTGATCAAAAACAACAAACAAGGGGCTGGGGATTTAGCTCAGTGGTTTCGCTGCCTGCTGTCCAAGTACAAGGACCTGAGTTCGATCCCCAGTACCAAAACAACAAAAAAAACCAACATACATATTGATAGGTCTCTCACTACCTCAGCAGCTATTATGTACAGTAGCTGCCCTCTTCCTATCGTGCCTTGCCCTCTCCCCTTTGTGTGACGTCATGCCAAGATGGTTGCTCCCACCAAAGAATAAACCCTTCTTCCCAGTATGCCCCTGTTTCCGCCTAGAAAGTAACCTAATA